CACCCCCTAGAACGTAAACCGTGGGGTGCAGCGTCATGATTTGTACAACTTTTAATGGCCATGGGGTGTAGATTGGCCTGAGCAAATGTGGTGCCGGTGGAACGAAAGCCTTCGGAGGAGTTAGCGAAATTCCAATGTGTGCGGATCGGCAAAAAATGCGAAATAACCCTTTAACCGTACATTTGACAGATACGCCCGCACTGACTTTTTTGTAGATCATATTGAGATACATGTGTGTGTCAATTTTTGTGTCAATATGACAAAGCGTAAAGGCGTGACAGTCAATAGTGTGAATTTTCACCTTAGGGGGCGCTTTGGAGCCATTTTGCATTTTATTGTTTGGGCGACTTCAGAATATCGAATTTTTCACCAGGCCCATTCGTCCTGCCAAATTTCATGAGTTTTCGCCAGTGGGAAGTGGGCCATTTTCCCCTTCAAAGGGGAGGAAAAATAAGAAGAAAGAAAGAAAGAAAGAACTAGGGCCCCGTTGGGGCACTGGCGGGCCCGAGCTGTGTCGCGTCCCCCCCCCCGCGCTGCCTCCCCGTCCCATTTGTGTCCTCTGGCCATCGCCCTCTCTGGTAACGCCCATCACTGCAAAGACCCTTTTCCTTCATCGGCGTTTGCTGTTCTTCCTGCCAGTGCGTGTTGCTTTCACTTACACTTGCCACAGCCAGCCTCGTGAGTGCCTAGCCTATTGGATATCACTGTCACCTACACAGGACAGTCATACTTTGTTTTTTAATTTCACATTAATTTCCATATTGTATAAACGACTGGAAAAAACTTGAGCCCCTGCCCCTGTATTATCATGTGCACGTCCCTGTTCTAGCTCCAAGGTGAATCTTCACTGCTCATGTTCTCCTCAGAAGCAGTCACCTCACTCCCCTCAGGTTACTGTACACATGCACCAACTGCCTGCTTCAGGTTTGGATGGAGCTTCATGGTTGTCTTTTGGAGAAATGAGCAGTCAAGTTGTGTTTGAAATTTGATTTTTTTCAGGGGCAAAAGGAAGCCTCTGCATTCTTGTCAAATATGTAAATAGCATGTTTTTGCAGGTGCTAAAAAACAGACTCTGAGTGTGTGTGTGTGTGTGTGTGTGTGTGTGTGTGTGTGTGTGTGTGTCTGTGTGTGTGTGTGTGTGTATCCTGCAGTACTCTGAGAAGAATAATAAGCATATTTCTGAGGTGAATTTTGAAGATTCATCTGAGAGTTAGGTTTGATTCGATTCGATTGACGCTCCCCAGCGTTCAAGTCACATGACATATTTAACCGGATGTAGCTGCAAGACGGAGCCTCGTTAACTCTCCGTTTCAACTTATCTCAAAAGTGAGGACCTCAACCTATATACCAGTTTTTAAATTGTGTTGATAGGCCAAATAAAACCAGAGTTATGATAAATTATGTCCGCGATACTTTTTTTCTGCTTATTTTGATCACGTTCGGCGCTCGATCGCGCTGTATGAGACAGGAAAACATAGCATGCACACATTAGCGACAGGTCTTACAGGCGGAAAAGGCTTGCCAAAAGAAAAAAAAAACACACCACAACATCTCTCCTATTGGTGGAAAACTTCACCACAACAACCAATCCAAAATTATATGGTGACTGATTGACAAGGGGCGGGCGCTTACGTTCTTCCTGCAACATGAGAAGGGAGGGAGGGACTCTCAGCAGGGATGCAGTCTGGGACACGTAGTTGCAAACCTAGCGACTTTGTTGTTAGATTCAATGACTTTTCAGACCCCCTAACAACTTTTTTTTTGAAAGAAAGGGACTTTTATCGACTTCTTCTGGAGTTTAGAGACTCTGACATGAAGCAGGCTTTCCTTACTGAGGAGTTAGCAACGCTGCTAAGAGTGCAGAGCCACACATGCGCTCCGAGCTCTGCATGGGAGACTGAAGCTGACAGAGCTGCAGCAGTTAGCAGGTTTCACCCTCAGAGACCACCAGGGGTTCATGTTGAGGCATTTTCAGTTTTTGTTTTTTTTGCCATAGACTGTCAGCACAATCTGCAGTTACACTAACAAAAATGCTGCAAAAAACAAAGAATTATGGAAAAATTACACATGGACTGACATAGAGGAGGATCTACACAAGTTTTTTACATCATGTTTTACATCATGCATCATTTACATCATGTTTTTTTGTAGTGGCATAAATAAAAAGTGACATTTGTGAGACTATACAGTGTTTTGTAAATAATTTTACAAAGAACGCCTGGGCCATTGCCTGCATTTTGATGTAAATAGAGGTAAATTACTATGTTCTTTGTTAAAAATTTGCATATGTTTTGAAGTTTACAATTTTTATTTGAAGTTTAAGTTTTAAAAACAGTTCATCACACATATTTGTGGTTTAATTTCACATTAATTTCCATATTGTATAAATGACTGGAAAAAACTTGAGCCCCTGCCCCTGTATAATCATGTGCACGTCCCTGTTCTAGCTCCAAGGTGAATCTTCACTGCTCATGTTCTCCTCAGAAATAGTCACCTCACTCCGCTCAGGTTACTGTACACATGCACCAACTATCTGCTTCAGGTTTGGATGGAGCTTCATGGTTGTCTTTTGGAGAAATGAACAGTCAAGTTGTGTTTGAAATCTGATTTTTTTCAGGGGCAAAAGGAAGCCTCTGCATTCTTGTCAAATATGTAAACAGCATGTTTTTGCAGGTGCTAAAAAACAGACTCTGAGTGTGTGTGTGTGTGTGTGTGTGTGTGTGTGTATATGTGTGTGTATCCTGCAGTACTCTGTACTCCTGCAGTGGCCAAAAAGACTTTTAAGAATGTGGATTTTTGGGTCATCTTTGGCGCCCCCTAGAACTGCAGTACTCTGTACTCCTGCAGTGGCCAAAATGACTTTTAAGAATGTGGATTTTTGGGTCATCTTTGGCGCCCCCTAGGACGTAAACCGTGGGGTGCAGCGTCATGATTTTTACAACTTTGAATGGGCATGGGGTGTAGATTGCCCTGAGCAAATTTGGTATCGGTGGGACGAAAGCCTTAGGAGGAGATAGCCACATTCCAATGTGTGCGAATCGGCAAAAAATGCAAAATAGCCCTTTAACCGTACATTATACAGATACGCGCTTTTTGACTTTTTCGTAGATCTAATTGAGATACACATGATTGTCAATTTTTGTGTCAATATGACAAAGCGTTCAGGCGTGACACTCAACAATGTGTATTTTCATGTAAGGGGACAAGAAAAAAAGGACTTTTTTCTCCTGCCATGGGGGGGCGCTCTTTTGGGGAGTAAAAATTCCTTCACAAATGTGTTGATGGCTGGACATTGCATCATCCTAGAAAACTTGGAGGGCAGTGAGGACAAAAATAAAAAGTTATAAGACTTTTAAGAATGTGGATTTTGGGTTATCTTTGGCGCCCCCTAGAACGTAAACCGTGGGGTGCAGCGTCATGATTTGTACAACTTTTAATGGCCATGGGGGGTAGATTGGCCTGCGCAAATGTGGTGCCGGTCGAACGAAAGCCTTCGGAGGAGTTAGCGAAATTCCAATGTGTGCAGATCTGCAAAAAATGCAAAATAACCCATTAACCGTACATTTGACAGATACGCCCGCACTGACTTTTTTGTAGATCTTATTGAGATACATGTGTGTGTCAATTTTTGTGTCAATATGACAAAGCGTACAGCCGTCATGTGAATTTTCACCTTAGGGGGCGCTATGGAGCCATTTTGCATTTTATTGTTTGGGCGACTTCAGAATATCGAATTTTTCACCAGGCCCGGTCGTCCTGCCAAATTTCGTGAGTTTTCGCCAGTGGGAAGTGGGCCATTTTCCAGTTTAAAGCGGAGGAAAAATAATAACGGAAGAAGGAAACATGCAGGAACAAGAGGGCTCTCGCAGCTGCTTAGCAGCTACGCTCGGGCCCTAACTAGGACCCCGTTGGGGCACTGGCGGGCCCGAGCCGTGTCCCCCCCCCCCCCCCCAACGTGCTGCCTCCCCGTCCCATTTGTGTCCTCTGGCCATCGCCCTCTCTGGTAACGCCCATCACTGCAAAGACCCTTTTCCTTCATCGGCGTTTGCTGTTCTTCCTGCCAGTGCGTGTTGCTTTCACTTACACTTGCCACAGCCAGCCTCGTGAGTGCCTAGCCTATTGGATATCACTGTCACCTACACAGGACAGTCATTACCTTTCTATTAATACTTTGTGTTTTAATTTCACATTAATTTCCATATTGTATAAACGACTGGAAAAAACTTGAGCCCCTGCCCCTGTATAATCATGTGCATGTCTCTGTTCTAGCTCCAAGGTGAATCTTCACTGCTCATGTTCTCCTCAGAAGCACTCACCTCACTCCCCTCAGGTTACTGTACACATGCACCAACTGCCTGCTTCAGGTTTGGATGGAGCTTCATGGTTGTCTTTTGGAGAAATGACCAGTCAAGTTGTGTTTGAAATTTGATTTTTTTCAGGGGCAAAAGGAGCCTCTGCATTCTTGTCAAATATGTAAATAGCATGTTTTTGCAGGTGCTAAAAACCAGACTCTGAGTGTGTGTGTGTGTGTGTGTGTGTGTGTGTGTGTGTGTGTGTGCGTGTGTGTGTGCGTTCAAGTCACATGACATATTTAACCGGATGTAGCTGCAAGACGGAGCCTCGTTGACTCTCCGTTTCAACTTATCTCAAAAGTGAGGACCTCAACCTATATACCAGTTTTTAAATTGTGTTGATAGGCCAAATAAAACCAGAGTTATGATAAATTATGTCCGCGATACTTTTTTTCTGCTTATTTTGATCACGTTCGGCGCTCGATCGCGCTGTATGAGACAGGAAAACATAGCATGCAGACATTAGCGACAGGTCTTACAGGCGGAAAAGGCTTGCCAAAAGAAAAAAAAAACACACCACAACATCTCTCCTATTGGTGGAAAACTTCACCACAACAACCAATCCAAAATTATATGGTGACTGATTGACAAGGGGCGGGTGCTTACTGTCTTCCTGCAACATGAGAAGGGAGGGAGGGACTCTCAGCAGGGATGCAGTCTGGGACACGTAGTTGCAAACCTAGCGACTTTGTTGTTAGATTCAATGACTTTTCAGACCCCCTAACGACTTTTTTTTAGAAAGAAAGGGACTTTTATCGACTTCTTCTGGAGTTTAGAGACTCTGACATGAAGCAGGCTTTCCTTACTGAGGAGTTAGCAACGCTGCTAAGGGTGCAGAGCCACACATGCGCTCAGAGCTCTGCATGGGAGACTGAAGCTGACAGAGCTGCAGCAGTTAGCAGGTTTCACCCTCAGAGACCACCAGGGGTTCATGTTGAGGCATTTTATTTTTTTTTTTTTTGTGCCATAGACACTGTCAGCACAATCTGCAGTTACACTAACAAAAATGCTGCAAAAAACAAAGAATTATGGAAAAATTACACATGGACTGACATAGAGGAGGAGCTACACAAGTTTTTTACATCATGTTTTACATCATGCATCATTTACATCATGTTTTTTTGTAGTGGCATAAATAAAAAGTGACATTTGTGAGACTATACAGTGTTTTGTAAATAAATTTACAAAGAACGCCTGGGCCATTGCCTGCATTTTGATGAAAATAGAGGTAAATCACTATGTTCTTTGTTAAAAATTTGCATATGTTTTGAAGTTTACAATTTTTATTTGAAGTTTAAGTTTTAAAAACAGTTCATCACACATATTTGTGGTTTTCACAGTAAAAATGTTACTTTTTTCCACTCTGATTTTATGTTTTGTGTGTGAATTTGGGTCCATTGTGTAAATTCAGTATGTCAACATGATAAAATAACTGTAAATTCGCACAGGTGAGGTTGTGCTGAAAAAAATGATACCAGGCAAGGCACGTGATTGTCAAATTTTGTGTCAATATGACAAAGCGTATAGGCTTGAATCTCAACAATATGTATTTTCACCTTAGGGGACAAGAAAAAATGGACTTTTTTCTCCTGCCATGGGGGGGCGCTCTTTTGGGGAGTAAAAATTCCTTCACAAATGTGTTGATGGCTGGACATTGCATCATCCTAGAAAACTTGGAGGCCAGTGAGGACAAAAATAAAAAGTTATAAGACTTTTAAATATGTGGATTTTAGGGTTATCTTTGGCGCCCCCTAGAACCTAAACCGTGGGGTGCAGCGTCATGATTTGAATAACTTTTAATGGCCATGGGGTGTAGATTGTCCTGAGCAAATGTGGTGCCGGTGGAACGAAAGCCTTAGGAGGAGTTAGCCACATTCCAATGTGTGCGGATCGGCAAAAAATGCGGAATAACCCTTTAACCGTACATTTGACAGATACGCGCGCATTGACTTTTTCGTAGATCTTATTGAGTTACATGTGTGTGTCAATTTTTGTGTCATTTTGACAAAGCGTATAGGCGTGACACTCAACAATGTGTATTTTCACCTTAGGGGACAAGAAAAAATTGACTTTTTTGTCCTGCCATGGGGGGGCGCTGTTTTGGGGAGTAAAAATTCCTTCACAAATGTGTTGATGGCTGGACATTGCATCATCCTAGAAAACTTGGAGGCCAGTGAGGACAAAAATAAAAAGTTATAAGACTTTTAAATATGTGGATTTTAGTGTTATCTTTGGCGCCCCCTAGAACCTAAACCTTGGGGTGCAGCATCATGATTTTGATAACTTTTAATGGCCATGGGGTGTAGATTGGCCTGAGCAAATGTGGTGCCGGTGGAACGAAAGCCTTCGGAGGAGTTAGCGAAATTCCAATGTGTGCGGATCGGCAAAAAATGCGAAATAACCCTTTAACCGTACATTTGACAGATACGCCCGCACTGACTTTTTTGTAGATCTTATTGAGATACATATGTGTGTCAATTTTTGTGTCAATATGACAAAGCGTACAGGCGTGACAGTCAATAGTGTGAATTTCCACCTTAGGGGGCGCTATGGAGCCATTTTGCATTTTATTGTTTGGGCGACTTCAGAATATCGAATTTTTCACCAGGCCCGGTCGTCCTGCCAAATTTCATGAGTTTTCGCCAGTGGGAAGTGGGCCATTTTCCAGTTCAAAGGGGAGGAAAAAGATGAAACTAGGGCCCCGTTGGGGCACTGGCGGGCCCGAGCCGTGTCGCGCCGCCCCCAACACGACCGCCTCTCCCTACCGATCGCGTCACACTCAAGGTCCAAAGATGGTGTGCGCACTTGTCTGTGGTCATTTACAATTATAATGAATGGGAGGCGCAGTTTCTACCAAAACGCTCGCCGCAGACAAACTACATGTCCTATTTGAAAAGGACTGGACCATGAGTGAGGGCACAAACACAGCTAGGATATATCCAAATGGCAAGTTGCTCCTCCTTTCGGTTTTGCCGAGAGAGCGATGTGTTTGAGTCATTGAGCGATGGGCAGGAAACTTTTTCTCCTGCCATGGGGGGGCGCTCTTTTAGGGAGTAAAAATTCCTTCACAAATGTGTTGATGGCTAGACATTGCATCATCCTAGAAAACTTGGAGGCCAGTGAGGACAAAAATAAAAAGTTATAAGACTTTTAAGAATGTGGATTTTTGGGTTATCTTTGGCGCCCCCTAGAACATAAACCGTGGGGTGCAGCGTCATGATTTTTACAACTTTGAATGGCCATGGAATGTAGATTGGCCTGAGTAAATTTGGTGTCAGTGGAACGAAATATTTAGGAGGAGTTAGCCACATTCCAATGTGTGCGAATCAACCAAAAATGCGAAATAGCCCTTTAACCGTACATTTTACAGATACGCGCCCATTGACTATTTCGTAGATCTTATTGAGAAACACGTGATTGTCAAAGTTTGTTACAATATGACAAAGCGTACAGGCGTGACACTCAATAATGTGAATTTTCACCTTAGGGGGGAAGAAAAACTGGACTTTTTTCTCCTGCCATGGGGGGGCGCTCTTTTGGGGAGTAAAAATTCCTTCACAAATGTGTTGATGGCTAGACATTGCATCATCCTAGAAAACTTGGAGGCCAGTGAGGACAAAAATAAAAAGTTATACGACTTTTAAGAATGTGGATTTCTGGGTTATCTTTGGCGCCCCCTAGAACGTAAACCGTGGGATGCAGCGTCATGATTTGTACAACTTTTAATGGCCATGGGGTGTAGATTGGCCTGAGCAAATTTGGTGCCGGTGGAACGAAAGCCTTCGGAGGAGTTAGCGAAATTCCAATGTGTGCGGATCGGCAAAAAATGCGAAATAGCCCTTTAACCGTACATTTGACAGATACGCCTGCACTGACTTTTTTGTAGATCTTATTGAGATACACGTGTGTGTCAAATTTTGTGTCATTTTGACAAAGCGTACAGGCGTGACACTCAATCATGTGAATTTTTCACCTTAGGGGGCGCTATGGAGCCATTTTGCATTTGATTTTTTGGGCGACTTCAGAATATCGAATTTTTCACCAGGCCCGGTCGTCCTGCCAAATTTCATGACTTTTCACCAGTGGGAAGTGGGCCATTTTCCAGTTCAAAGGGGCAGAAAAATAACTAGGGCCCCGGTGGGGCACTGTCGGGCCCGAGCCGCGTCGCGCCGCCCCCAGCGCGACCGCCTCCCCCTCCCGATCGCGTCACACTCAAGGTCCAAAGATGGTGTGCGCACTTGTCTGTGGTCATTTCCCATTATAATGAATGGGAGGCGCAGTTTCTACCAAAACGCTCGCTGCAGACAAACTACATGTCCTATTTGAAAAAAGTCTGGACCATGAGTGAGGGCACAAACACAGCTAGTATATATCCAAATGGCAAGTTGCTCCTCCTTTCGGTTTTGCAGAGAGAGCGATGCGTTTGAGCCATTGAGCGATGGGCAGGAAAAACTTGACTTTTTCTCCTGCCATGGGGGGGCGCTCTTTTGGGGAGAAAAAATTCCTTCACAAATGTGTTGATGGCTGGACATTGCATCATCCTAGAAAACTTGGAGGCCAGTGAGGACAAAAATAAAAAGTTATAAGACTTTTAAAAATGTGGATATTTGGGTCCTCTTTGGCGCCCCCTAGAACGTAAACTGTGGGGTGCAGCGTCATGATTTGTACAACTTTGAATGGCCATGGGGTGTAGATTGACCTGAGCAAATTTGAAGCCGATGGGACAAAAGATTTAGGAGGAGTTAGCGAAATTCCAATGTGTGCGGATCGGCAAAAAATGCGAAATAACCCTTTAACCGTACATTTGACAGATACGCCCGCACTGACTTTTTTGTAGATCTTATTGAGATACATGTGTGTGTCAAATTTTGTGTCATTTTGACAAAGCGTACAGGTGTGAGACTCAACAATGTGTATTTTCGCCTTAGGAGACAAGAAAAAATGGACTTTTTTCTCCTGCCATGGGGGGGCGCTCTTTTCGCGAGTAAAAATTCCTTCACAAATGTGTTGATGGCTGGACATTGCATCATCCTAGAGAACTTGGAGGCCAGTGAGGACAAAAATAAAAAGTTATAAGACTTTTAAGACTGTGGATTTTTGGGTTATCTTTGGCGCCCCCTAGAACGTAAACCGTGGGGTGCAGCGTCATGATTTGTACAACTTTTAATGGCCATGGGGTGTAGATTGGCCTCAGCAAATGTGGTGCCTTTGGAACGAAAGCCTTCGGAGGAGTTAGCGAAATTCCAATGTGTGCGGATCGACAAAAAATGCGAAATAGCCCTTTCACCGTACATTTGACAGATACGCCCGCACTGACTTTTTTGTAGATCTTATTGAGATACATGTGTGTGTCAATTTTTGTGTCAATATGACAAAGCGTAAAGGCGTGACAGTCAATAGTGTGAATTTTCGCCTTAGGAGACAAGAAAAAATGGACTTTTTTCTCCTGCCATGGGGGGGCGCTCTTTTGGGGAGTAAAAATTCCTTCACAAATGTGTTGATGGCTGGACATTGCATCATCCTAGAAAACTTGGAGGTCAGTGAGGACAAAAATAAAAAGTTATACGACTTTTAAGAATGTGGATTTCTGGGTTATCTTTGGCGCCCCCTAGAACGTAAACCGTGGGATGCAGCGTCATGATTTGTACAACTTTTAATGGCCATGGGGTGTAGATTGGCCTGAGCAAATTTGGTGCCGGTGGAACGAAAGCCTTCGGAGGAGTTAGCGAAATTCCAATGTGTGCGGATCGGCAAAAAATGCGAAATAGCCCTTTAACCGTACATTTGACAGATACGCCCGCACTGACTTTTTTGTAGATCTTATTGAGATACACGTGTGTGTCAAATTTTGTGTCATTTTGACAAAGCGTACAGGCGTGACACTCAATCATGTGAATTTTTCACCTTAGGGGGCGCTATGGAGCCATTTTGCATTTGATTTTTTGGGCGACTTCAGAATATCGAATTTTTCACCAGGCCCGGTCGTCCTGCCAAATTTCATGACTTTTCACCAGTGGGAAGTGGGCCATTTTCCAGTTCAAAGGGGCAGAAAAATAATAAGAAGAAGAAGAAGAAACTAGGGCCCCGGTGGGGCACTGGCGGGCCCGAGCCGTGTCGCGCCGCCCCCAGCGCGACCGCCTCCCCCTTCCGGTCGCGTCACACTCAAGGTCCAAAGATGGTGTGCGCACTTGTCTGTGGTCATTTACCATTATAATGAATGGGAGGCGCAGTGTCTACCAAAACGCTTGCTGCAGACAAACTCCATGTCCTTTTTGAAAAAAGTCTGGACCATGAGTGAGGGCACAAACACAGCTTCGATATATCCAAATGGCAAGTTGCTCCTCCTTTCGGTTTTGCCGAGAGAGCGATGCGTTTGAGCCATTGGGCGATGGGCAGTAAAAACTTAACTTTTTCTCCTGCCATGGGGGGGCGCTCTTTTGGGGAGTAAAAATGCCTTCACAAATGTGTTGATGGCTGGACATTGCATCATCCTAGAAAACTTGGATGCCAGTGAGGACAAAAATAAAAACTTATAAAACTTTTAAGAATGTATATTTTTGGGTTATTTTTGGCGCCCCCTTGAATGTAAACCGTGGGGTGCAGTGTCATGATTTATACAACGTAAAATGGCTATGGGGTGTAGATTGGCCTGAGAAAATTTAGTGATGGTGGGATGAAAGCTCTAGGAGGAGTTAGCCACATTGCAATGTGTGCGAATCGGCAAAAAATGCAAAGTAGCCCTTTAACCATACATTTTACAGATACGCGCTTATTGACTTTTTCGTAGATCTAATTGAGATACACATGATTGTCAATTTTTGTGTCAATATGACAAAGCGTTCAGGCGTGACACTCAACAATGTGTATTTTCATGTAAGGGGACAAGAAAAAATTGACTTTTTTCTCCTGCCATGGGGGGGCGCTCTTTTGGGGAGTAAAAATTCCTTCACAAATGTGTTGATGGCTGGACATTGCATCATCCTAGAAAACTTGGAGGGCAGTGAGGACAAAAATAAAAAGTTATAAGACTTTTAAGAATGTGGATTTTGGGTTATCTTTGGCGCCCCCTAGAACGTAAACCGTGGGGTGCAGCGTCATGATTTGTACAACTTTTAATGGCCATGGGGGGTAGATTGGCCTGCGCAAATGTGGTGCCGGTCGAACGAAAGCCTTCGGAGGAGTTAGCGAAATTCCAATGTGTGCAGATCTGCAAAAAATGCAAAATAACCCATTAACCGTACATTTGACAGATACGCCCGCACTGACTTTTTTGTAGATCTTATTGAGATACATGTGTGTGTCAATTTTTGTGTCAATATGACAAAGCGTACAGCCGTCATGTGAATTTTCACCTTAGGGGGCGCTATGGAGCCATTTTGCATTTTATTGTTTGGGCGACTTCAGAATATCGAATTTTTCACCAGGCCCGGTCGTCCTGCCAAATTTCCTGAGTTTTCGCCAGTGGGAAGTGGGCCATTTTCCAGTTTAAAGCGGAGGAAAAATAATAACTAGGGCCCCGGTGGGGCACTGTCGGGCCCGAGCCGCGTCGCGCCGCCCCCAGCGCGACCGCCTCCACCTCCCGATCGCGTCACACTCAAGGTCCAAAGATGGAGTGCGCACTTGTCTGTGGTCATTTCCCATTATAATGAATGGGAGGCGCAGTTTCTACCAAAACACTCGCTGCAGACAAACTACATGTCCTATTTGAAAAAAGTCTGGACCATGAGTGAGGGCACAAACACAGCTAGGATATATCCAAATGGCAAGTTGCTCCTCCTTTCGCTATTGCTGAGAGAGCGATGCGATTGAGCCATTGAGCGATGGGCAGGAAAAACTTGACTTTTTCTCCTGCCATGGGGGGAGGGGGGGGGGATGTGGATTCTTTTAAGAATGTGGATATTTGGGTCATCTTTGGCACCCCCTAGAACGTAAACCGTGGGGTGCAGCGTCATGATTTTTACAACTTTGAATGGCCATGGGGTGTAGATTGGCCTGAGCAAATTTGGTGTCAGTGGGACGAAAGCCTTAGGAGGAGTTAGCCACATTCCAATGTGTGCGAATCGGCAAAAAATGCAAAATAGCCCTTTAACCATACATTTTACAGATATTTGCGCATGACTTTTTCATAGATCTTATTGAGATACACGTGATTGTCAAATTTTGTGTCATTTTGACAAAGCGTACAGGCGTGACAGTCAACAATGTGTATTTTCACCTTAGGGGACAAGAAAAAATGGACTTTTTTCTCCTGCCATGGGGGGGGCGCTCTTTTGGGGAGTAAAAATTTCTTCACAAATGTGTTGATGGCTGGACATTGCATCATCCTAGAAAACTTGGAGGCCAGTGAGGACAAAAATAAAAAGTTATAAGACTTTTAAGACTGTGGATTTTTGGGTTATCTTTGGCGCCCCCTAGAACCTAAACCGTGGGGTGCAGCGTCATAATTTATACAACTTTTAATGGCCATGGGGTGTAGATTGGCCTGAGCAAATTTGGTGCCGGTGGAACGAAAGTCTTCGGAGGAGTTAGCGAAATTCCAATGTGTGCGGATCGGCAAAAAATGCGAAATAGCCCTTTAACCGTACATTATACAGATACGCGCTCTATGACTTTTTCGTAGATCTTATTGAGATACACATGTGTGTCAAATTTTGTGTCAATATGACAAAGCGTTCAGGCATGACACTCAACAATGTGTATTTTCACCTTAGGGGACAAGAAAAAATTGACTTTTTTCTCCTGCCATGGGGGGGCGCTCTTTTGGGGAGTAAAAATTTCTTCACAAATGTGTTGATGGCTGGACATTGCATCATCCTAGAAAACTTGGAGGCCAGTGAGGACAAAAATAAAAAGTTATAAGACTTTTAAGACTGTGGATTTTTGGGTTATCTTTGGCGCCCCCTAGAATGTAAACCGTGGGGTGCAGCGTCATGATTTGTACAACTTTTAATGGCCATGGGGTGTAGATTGTCCTGAGCAAATTTGTTGCCGGTGGAACGAAAGCCTTCGGAGGAGTTAGCGAAATTCCAATGTGTGCGGATCAGCAAAAAATGCGAAATAGCCCTTTAACCGTACATTTGACAGATACGCCCGCACTGACTTTTTTGTAGATCTTATTGAGATACACATGTGTGTCAAATTTTGTGTCATTTTGACAAAGCGTACAGGCGTCAGGTGAGTTTTCACCATAGGGGGCGCTATGGAGCCATTTTTCATTTTTTTGTTTGGGCGACTTCAGAATATCGAATTTTTCACCAGGCCCGGTCGTCCTGCCAAATTTCCTGAGTTTTCGCCAGTGGGAAGTGGGCCATTTTCCAGTTTAAAGCGGAGGAAAAATAACGAAAGAAGAATCCATCAGGAACAAGAGGGCTCTCGCAGCTGCTTAGCAGCTACGCTCGGGCCCTAACTAGGACCCCGTTGGGGCACTGGCGGGCCCGAGCTGTGTCGCGCCCCCCCCCCAACGCGCTGCCTCCCCGTCCCATTCGCGTCCTCTGGCCATCGTCCTCTCTGGTGACGCCCATCACTGCAAAGACCCTTTTCCTTCATCGGGGTTTGCTGTTCTTCCTGCCAGTGCGTGTTGCTTTCACTTACACTTGCCACAGCCAGCCTCTTGAGTGCCTAGCCTATTGGATATCACTGTCACCTACACAGGACAGTCATTACCTTTCTGTTAATACTTTGTTTTTTAATTTCACATTAATTTCCATATTGTATAAACAACTGGAAAAAACTTGAGCCCCTGCCCCTGTATAATCATGTGCACGTCTCTGTTCTAGCTCTAAGGTGAATCTTCACTGCTCATGTTCTCCTCAGAAGCAGTCACCTCACTCCCCTCAGGTTACTGTACACATGCACCAACTGCCTGCTTCAGGTTTGGATGGAGCTTCATGGTTGTCTTTTGGAGAAATGAACAGTCAAGTTGTGTTTGAAATTTGATTTTTTTCAGGGGCAAAAGGAAGCCTCTGCATTCTTGTCAAATATGTAAACAGCATGTTTTTGCAGGTGCTAAAAAACAGACTCTGAGTGTGTGTGTGTGTGTGTGTGTGTGTGTGTGTGTGTGTGTGTGTATCCTGCAGTACTCTGTACTCCTGCAGTGACCAAAAAGACTTTTAAGAATGTGGATTTTTGGGTCATCTTTGGCGCCCCCTAGAACTGCAGTACTCTTTACTCCTGCAGTGGCCAAAATGACTTTTAAGAATGTGGATTTTTGGGTCATCTTTGGCGCCCCCTAGAACGTAAACCGTGGGGTGCAGCGGCATGATTTTTACAACTTTGAATGGGCATGGGGTGTAGATTGCCCTGAGCAAATTTGGTATCGGTGGGACGAAAGCCTTAGGAGGAGATAGCCACATTCCACTGTGTGCGAATCGGCAAAAAATGCGAAATAGCCCTTTAACCGTACATTTGACAGATACGTGCCCATTGACTTTTTTGTAGATCTTATTGAGATACACGTGATTTTCAAATTGTGTGTCAATATGACAAAGTGTATAGGCGTGACACTCAACAATGTGTATTTTTACCTTAGGAGACAAGAAAAAATGGACTTTTTTCTCCTGCCATGGGGGGGCGCTCTTTTGGGGAGTAAAAATTCCTTCACAAATGTGTTGATGGCTGGACATTGCATCATCCTAGAAACCTTGGAGGCCAGTGAGGACAAAAATAAAAAGTTATAAGACTTTTAAGAATGTGGATTTTTGGGTTATCTTTGGCGCCGCCTAGAACCTAAACCGTGGGGTGCAGCGTCATGATTTGTACAACTTTTAATGGCCATGGGGTGTAGATTGGCCTGAGCAAATGTGGTGCCGGTGGAACGAAAGCCTTCGGAGGAGTTAGCGAAATTCCAATGTGTGCGGATCGGCAAAAAAAGCGAAATAGCCCTTTAACCATACATTTGACAGATACGCCCGCACTGACTTTTTCGTAGATCTTATTGAGATACACATGTGTGTCAAATTTTCTGTCATTTTGACAAAGCGTACAGGCATCAGGTGAGTTTTCACCATAGGGGGCGCTATGGAGCCATTTTTCATTTTTTTGTTTGGACGACTTCAGAATATCAAATTTTTCACCAGGCCCGGTCGTCCTGCCAAATTTCCTGAGTTTTCGCCAGTGGGAAGTGGGCCATTTTCCAGTTTAAAGCGGAGGAAAAATAACGAAAGAAGAATCCATCAGGAACAAGAGGGCTCTCGCAGCTGCTTAGCAGCTACGCTCGGGCCCTAACGAAAGAAGGAAACATGCAGGAACAAGAGGGCTCTCGCAGCTGCTTAGCAGCTACGCTCGGGCCCTAAGAAGAATCCATCAGGAATAATAGGGCTCTCGCAGCTGCTTAGCAGCTACGCTCGGGCCCTAAGAAAGAAAGAACTAGGACCCCGTTGGGGCACTGGCGGGCCCGAGCTGTGTCGCGCCCCCCCCCCAACGCGCTGCCTCCCCGTCCCATTTGTGTCCTCTGGCCATCGCCCTCTCTGGTAACGCCCATCACTGCAAAGACCCTTTTCCTTCATCGGCGTTTGCTGTTCTTCCTGCCAGTGCGTGTTGCTTTCACTTACACTTGCCACAGCCAGCCTCGTGAGTGCCTAGCCTATTGGATATCACTGTCACCTACACAGGACAGTCATTACCTTTCTATTAATACTTTGTTTTTTAATTTCACATTAATTTCCATATTGTATAAACAACTGGAAAAAACTTGAGCCCCTGCCCCTGTATAATCATGTGCACGTCTCTGTTCTAGCTCTAAGGTGAATCTTCACTGCTCATGTTCTCCTCAGAAGCAGTCACCTCACTCCCCTCAGGTTACTGTACACATGCACCAACTGCCTGCTTCAGGTTTGGATGGAGCTTCATGGTTGTCTTTTGGAGAAATGACCAGTCAAGTTGTGTTTGAAATTTGATTTTTTTCAGGGGCAAAAGGAGCCTCTGCATTCTTGTCAAATATGTAAATAGCATGTTTTTGCAGGTGCTAAAAACCAGACTCTGAGTGTGTGTGTGTGTGTGCGTGTGTGTGTGTGTCTGTGTGTGTGTGTGTGTGTGTGTGTGTGTGTGTGTGTGTGTGTGTGTGCGTTCAAGTCACATGACATATTTAACCGGATGTAGCTGCAAGACGGAGCCTCGTTGACTCTCCGTTTCAACTTATCTCAAAAGTGAGGACCTCAACCTATATACCAGTTTTTAAATTGTGTTGATAGGCCAAATAAAACCAGAGTTATGATAAATTATGTCCGCGATACTTGTTTTCTGCTTATTTTGATCACGTTCGGCGCTCGATCGCGCTGTATGAGACAGGAAAACATAGCATGCAGACATTAGCGACAGGTCTTACAGGCGGAAAAGGCTTGCCAAAGGAAAAAAAAAACACACCACAACATCTCTCCTATTGGTGGAAAACTTCACCACAACAACCAATCCAAAATTATATGGTGACTGATTGACAAGGGGCGGGCGCTTACGTTCTTCCTGCAATATGAGAAGGGAGGGAGGGACTCTCAGCAGGGATGCAGTCTGGGACACGTAGTTGCAAACCTAGCGACTTTGTTGTTAGATTCAATGACTTTTCAGACCCCCTAACGACGTTTTTTTAGAAAGAAAGTGACTTTTATCGACTTCTTCTGGAGTTTAGAGACTCTGACATGAAGCAGGCTTTCCTTACTGAGGAGTTAGCAACGCTGCTAAGGGTGCAGAGCCACACATGCGCTCTGAGCTCTGCATGGGAGACTGAAGCTGACAGAGCTGCAGCAGTTAGCAGGTTTCACCCTCAGAGACCACCAGGGGTTCATGTTGAGGCATTTTCAGTTTTTTTTTTTTTTTTGCCATAGACACTGTCAGCACAATCTGCAGTTACACTAACAAAAATGCTGCAAAAAACAAAGAATTATGGAAAAATTACACATGGACTGACATAGAGGAGGATCTACACAAGTTTTTTACATCATGTTTTACATCATGCATCATTTACATCATGTTTTTTTGTAGTGGCATAAATAAAAAGTGACATTTGTGAGACTATACAGTGTTTTGTAAATAATTTTACAAAGAACACCTGGGCCATTGCCTGCATTTTGATGTAAATAGAGGTAAATTACTATGTTCTTTGTTAAAAATTTGCATATGTTTTGAAGTTTACAATTTTTATTTGAAGTTTAAGTTTTAAAAACAGTTCATCACACATATTTGTGGTTTTCACAGTAAAAACGTTACTTTTTTCCACTCGGATTTTATGTTTTGTGTGTGAATTTGGGTCCAATGTGTAAATATAGTATGTCAAAATGATAAAATAACTGTAAATTGACACAGGTGAGGTTGTGCTGAAAAAAATGATACCAGGCAAGGCAAGGTAAAAATTTTGTAAGAGGAAATATAAAGGTAAAATCTAAAGTAGTCAAAAACGGCCAATAGTGACTCACAGACTCCACAGACAAGTCCCTTTGGCGCCACTCAGTGGGCAAAACTACTTTGTCTACTGTAATGTATATTTGGGTCATCTTTGGCGCCCCCTAAAACGTAAACCGTGGGGTGCCGCGTCATGATTTTTACAACTTTGAATGGCCATGGAGTGTAGATTGGCCTGAGCAAATTTGGTGTCAGTGGGACGAAAGCCTTAGGAGGAGTTAGCGAAATTCCAATATGTGCGAATCGGCAAAAAATGCAAAATAGCCCTTTTACCGTACATTATACAGATACGCGCTCTTGACTTTTTCGTAGATCTAATTGAGATACACATGATTGTCAATTTTTGTGTCATTTTGCCAAAGCGTACAGGCGTGACAGTCAACAATGTGTATTTTCACCTTAGAGGACAAGAAAAAATGGACTTTTTTCTCCTGCCATGGGGGGGCGCTCTTTTAGGGAGTAAAAATTCCTTCACAAATGTGTTGATGGCTGGACATTGCATCATCCTAGAAAACTTGGAGGCCAGTGAGGACAAAAATAAAAAGTTATAAGACTTTTAAAAATGTGGATTTTTGGGTTATCTTTGGCGCCCCCTAGAACGTAAACCGTGGGGTGCAGCGTCATGATTTGAATAACTTTTAATGGCCATGGGGTGTAATTTGGCCTGAGCAAATGTGGTTCCGGTGGAACGAAAGCCTTCGGAGGAGTTAGCGAAATTCCAATGTGTGCGAATCGGCAAAAAATGCGGAATAACCCTTTAACCGTACATTTGACAGATACGCGCCCATTGACTCTTTTGTAGATCTTATTGAGATACATGTGTGTGTCAATTTTTGTGTCATTTTGACAAAGCGTACAGGCGTGACACTCAACAATGTGTATTTTCACCTTAGTGGACAAGAAAAAATGGACTTTTTTCTCCTGCCATGGGGGGGCGCTCTTTTGGGGAGTAAAAATTCCTTCACAAATGTGTTGATGGCTGGACATTGCATCATCCTAGAAAACTTGGAGGCCAGTGAGGACAAAAATAAAAAGTTATAAGACTTTGAAATATGTGGATTTTAGTGTTATCTTTGGCGCCCCCTAGAACCTAAACCGTGGGGTGCAGCGTCATGATTTGAATAACTTTTAATGGCCATGGGGTGTAGATTGGCCTGAGCAAATGTGGTGCCGGTGGAACGAAAGCCTTCGGAGGAGTTAGCGAAATTCCAATGTGTGCGGATCGGCAAAAAATGCGCAATAACCCTTTAACCGTACATTTGACAGATACGCCCGCACTGACTTTTTTGTAGATCTTATTGAGATACATGTGTGTGTCAATTTTTGTGTCATTTTGACAAAGCGTACAGGCGTGACAGTCAATAGTGTGAATTTTCACCTTAGGGGGCGCTATGGAGCCATTTTGCATTTTCTTGTTTGGGCGACTTCGGAATATCAAATTTTTCACCAGGCCCGGTCGTCCTGCCAAATTTCCTGAGTTTTCGCCAGTGGGAAGTGGGCCATTTTCCAGTTCAAAGGGGAGGAAAAAGAAGAAAGAAAGAAACAAAGAAAAACCCCTACAGGAATAACAGGGCCTACGCCCGGCTGCTCTGCAGCTGGCTCGGGCCCTAAAGAAACAAAGAAAAACCACTTGGGGAATAATAGGGCCTACGCCCGGCTGCTCTGCAGCTGGCTCGGGCCCTAAAGAAGGAAACATGCAGGAACAAGAGGGCTCTCGCAGCTGCTTAGCAGCTACGCTCGGGCCCTAAAGAAGAATCCATCAGGAACAAGAGGGCTCTCGCAGCTGCTTAGCAGCTACGCTCGGGCCCTAAAGAAAGAAAGAAGAAAGACTAGGGCCCCGGTGGGGCACTGGCGGGCCCGAGCCGTGTCGCGCCGCCCCCAGCGCGACCGCCTCCCCCTTCCGGTCGCGTCACACTCAAGGTCCAAAGATGGTGTGCGCACTTGTCTGTGGTCATTTACCATTATAATGAATGGGAGGCGCAGTTTCTACCAAAACGCTTGCTGCAGACAAACTCCATGTCCTTTTTGAAAAAAGTCTGGACCATGAGTGAGGGCACAAACACAGCTTCGATATATCCAAATGGCAAGTTGCTCCTCCTTTCGGTTTTGCCGAGAGAGCGATGCGTTTGAGCCATTGGGCGATGGGCAGTAAAAACTTAACTTTTTCTCCTGCCATGGGGTGGCGCTCTTTTGGGGAGTAAAAATGCCTTCACAAATGTGTTGATGGCTGGACATTGCATCATCCTAGAAAACTTGGATGCCAGTGAGGACAAAAATAAAAACTTATAAAACTTTTAAGAATGTATATTTTTGGGTTATTTTTGGCGCCCCCTTGAATGTAAACCGTGGGGTGCAGCGTCATGATTTGTACAACTTTTAATGGCCATGGGGGGTAGATTGGCCTGCGCAAATGTGGTGCCGGTCGAACGAAAGCCTTCGGAGGAGTTAGCGAAATTCCAATGTGTGCAGATCTGCAAAAAATGCAAAATAACCCATTAACCGTACATTTGACAGATACGCCCGCACTGACTTTTTTGTAGATCTTATTGAGATACATGTGTGTGTCAATTTTTGTGTCAATATGACAAAGCGTACAGCCGTCATGTGAATTTTCACCTTAGGGGGCGCTATGGAGCCATTTTGCATTTTATTGTTTGGGCGACTTCAGAATATCGAATTTTTCACCAGGCCCGGTCGTCCTGCCAAATTTCCTGAGTTTTCGCCAGTGGGAAGTGGGCCATTTTCCAGTTTAAAGCGGAGGAAAAATAATAACTAGGGCCCCGGTGGGGCACTGTCGGGCCCGAGCCGCGTCGCGCCGCCCCCAGCGCGACCGCCTCCCCCTCCCAATCGCATCACACTCAAGGTCCAAAGATGGTGTGCGCACTTGTCTGTGGTCATTTCCCATTATAATGAATGGGAGGCGCAGTTTCTACCAAAACGGTCGCTGCAGACAAACTACATGTCCTATTTGAAAAAAGTCTGGACCATGAGTGAGGGCACGAACACAGCTAGGATATATCCAAATGGCAAGTTGCTCCTCCTTACGGTGTTGCCAGGAGAGCGATGCGATTGAGCCATTGAGCGATGGGCAGGGTTAACTGGACTTTTTCCCTGCCTTGGGGGGGGGGATGTGGATTCTTTTAAGAATGTGGATATTTGGGTCATCTTTGGCGCCCCCTAGAACCTAAACCGTGGGGTGCAGCGGCATGATTTTTACAACTTTGAATGGCCATGGGATGTAGATCGGCTTGAGCAAATTTGGTGTCGGTGGGAAGAAAGCCTTAGGAGGAGTTAGCCACATTCCAATGTGTGCGAATCGGCAAAAAATGCGAAATAACCCTTTAACCGTACATTTTACAGATATGTGCCCATTGACTTTTTCGTAGATCTTATTGAGATACACGTGTGTGTCAAATTTTGTGTCATTTTGACAAAGCGTATAGGCGTGACAGTCAACAATGTGTTTTTTCACCTTAGGGGACAAGAAAAAATGGACTTTTTTCTCCTGCCATGGGGGGGCGCTCTTTTCGGGAGTAAAAATTCCTTTACAAATGTGTTGATGGCTGGACATTGCATCATCCTAGAAAACTTGGAGGCCAGTGAGGACAAAAATAAAAAGTTATAAGACTATTAAGAATGTTGATTTTTGGGTCATCTTTGGCGCCCCCTTGAACGTAAACCGTGGAGTGCAGCGTCATGATTTGTACAACTTTGAATGGCCATGGGGTGTAGATTGGCCTGAGCAAATTTGGTGCCGATGGGACGAAAGCTTTAGGAGGAGTTAGCCACATTCCAATGTGTGCGAATCGGCAAAAAATGCAAAATAGCCCTTTAACCGTACATTTTACAGATACGTGCGCATTGACTTTTTCGTAGATCTTATTGAGATACACGTGATTGTCAAATTTTGTGTCAATATGACAAAGCGTACAGGCGTGACACTGAACAATGTGTATTTTCACCCTAGGGGACAAGAAAAAATTAACTTTTTTCTCCTGCCATGGGGGGGCGCTCTTTTGGGGAGTAAAAATTCCTTCACAAATGTGTTGATGGCTGGACATTGCATCATCCTAGAAAACTTGGAGGCCAGTGAGGACAAAAATAAAAAGTTATAAGACTTTAAAGAATGTGGATTTTTGGGTTATCTTTGGCGCCCCCTAGAACCTAAACCGTGGGGTGCAGCGTCATGATTTGTACAACTATGAATGGCCATGGGGTGTAGATTGGCCTGAGCAAATGTGGTGCCGGTGGAACGAAAGCCTTCGGAGGAGTTAGCGAAATTCCAATGTGTGGGGATCTGCAAAAAATGCAAAATAACCCATTAACCGTACATTTGACAGATACGCCCGCACTGACTTTTTTGTAGATCTTATTGAGATACATGTGTGTGTCAATTTTTGTGTCAATATGACAAAGCGTACAGCCGTCATGTGAATTTTCACCTTAGGGGGCGCTATGGAGCCATTTTGCATTTTATTGTTTGGGCGACTTCAGAATATCGAATTTTTCACCAGGCCCGGTCGTCCTGCCAAATTTCCTGAGTTTTCGCCAGTGGGAAGTGGGCCATTTTCCAGTTTAAAGCGGAGGAAAAATAATAACTAGGGCCCCGGTGGGGCACTGTCGGGCCCGAGCCGCGTCGCGCCGCCCCCAGCGCGACCGCCTCCCCCTCCCAATCGCATCACACTCAAGGTCCAAAGATGGTGTGCGCACTTGTCTGTGGTCATTTCCCATTATAATGAATGGGAGGCGCAGTTTCTACCAAAACGGTCGCTGCAGACAAACTACATGTCCTATTTGAAAAAAGTCTGGACCATGAGTGAGGGCACGAACACAGCTAGGATATATCCAAATGGCAAGTTGCTCCTCCTTACGGTGTTGCCAGGAGAGCGATGCGATTGAGCCATTGAGCGATGGGCAGGGTTAACTGGACTTTTTCCCTGCCTTGGGGGGGGGGGGATGTGGATTCTTTTAAGAATGTGGATATTTGGGTCATCTTTGGCGCCCCCTAGAACCTAAACCGTGGGGTGCAGCGGCATGATTTTTACAACTTTGAATGGCCATGGGATGTAGATCGGCTTGAGCAAATTTGGTGTCGGTGGGAAGAAAGCCTTAGGAGGAGTTAGCCACATTCCAATGTGTGCGAATCGGCAAAAAATGCGAAATAACCCTTTAACCGTACATTTTACAGATATGTGCCCATTGACTTTTTCGTAGATCTTATTGAGATACACGTGTGTGTCAAATTTTGTGTCATTTTGACAAAGCGTATAGGCGTGACAGTCAACAATGTGTTTTTTCACCTTAGGGGACAAGAAAAAATGGACTTTTTTCTCCTGCCATGGGGGGGCGCTCTTTTCGGGAGTAAAAATTCCTTTACAAATGTGTTGATGGCTGGACATTGCATCATCCTAGAAAACTTGGAGGCCAGTGAGGACAAAAATAAAAAGTTATAAGACTATTAAGAATGTTGATTTTTGGGTCATCTTTGGCGCCCCCTTGAACGTAAACCGTGGAGTGCAGCGTCATGATTTGTACAACTTTGAATGGCCATGGGGTGTAGATTGGCCTGAGCAAATTTGGTGCCGATGGGACGAAAGCTTTAGGAGGAGTTAGCCACATTCCAATGTGTGCGAATCGGCAAAAAATGCAAAATAGCCCTTTAACCGTACATTTTACAGATACGTGCGCATTGACTTTTTCGTAGATCTTATTGAGATACACGTGATTGTCAAATTTTGTGTCAATATGACAAAGCGTACAGGCGTGACACTGAACAATGTGTATTTTCACCCTAGGGGACAAGAAAAAATTAACTTTTTTCTCCTGCCATGGGGGGGCGCTCTTTTGGGGAGTAAAAATTCCTTCACAAATGTGTTGATGGCTGGACATTGCATCATCCTAGAAAACTTGGAGGCCAGTGAGGACAAAAATAAAAAGTTATAAGACTTTAAAGAATGTGGATTTTTGGGTTATCTTTGGCGCCCCCTAGAACCTAAACCGTGGGGTGCAGCGTCATGATTTGTACAACTATGAATGGCCATGGGGTGTAGATTGGCCTGAGCAAATGTGGTGCCGGTGGAACGAAAGCCTTCGGAGGAGTTAGCGAAATTCCAATGTGTGGGGATCTGCAAAAAATGCGAAATAACCCTTTAACCGTACATTTGACAGATACGCCCGCACTGACTTTTTTGTAGATCTTATTGAGATACATGTGTGTGTCAATTTTTGTGTCATTTTGACAAAGCGTACAGGCATGACAGTCAATAGTGTGAATTTTCACCTTAGGGGGCGCTATGGAGCCATTTTGCATTTTATTGTTTGGGCGACTTAAGAATATCGAATTTTTCACCAGGCCCGGTCGTCCTGCCAAATTTCATGAGTTTTCGCCAGTGGGAAGTGGGCCATTTTCCAGTTTAAAGCGGAGGAAAAATAATAATAATAACAAAAGAAGAATCCATCAGGAACAAGAGGGCTCTCGCAGCTGCTTAGCAGCTACGCTCGGGCCCTAACGAAAGAAGGAAACATGCAGGAACAAGAGGGCTCTCGCAGCTGCTTAGCAGCTACGCTCGGGCCCTAAAGAAGAAGAAGAAGAAGAAGAAGAAGAAGAAGAAGAAAAAGAAGAAGAAGAACATACTAGGGCCCCGTTGGGGCACTGGCGGGCCCGAGCCGTGTCGCGCCCCCTCCCCAACGCGATCGCCTCCCCGTCCCATTCTCTTCCTCTGGCCATCGCCCTCTCTGGTAACGCCCATCACTACAAAGACCCTTATCCTTCATCGGCGTTTGTGGTTCTTCCCGCCAGTTTGTGTCCAACGCTTTTGCGCGTTGAAAGGTTAGGGTCTCCACTAAAGGTCAGAGGTCAAATAACATTTGTATCTCAAACTGTGACGTCACAGTCAGGGTCCAAAGATGGTGTGCGCAACTGTCTTTGGTCATTTCCCATTATAATGAATGGGAGGCACAGTCTCTACCAAAACGCTCGCTGCAGAAAAACTACGTGTCCTTTTTGAAAAAAGTCTGGACCATGAGTGAGGGCACAAACACAGCTAGTATATATCCAAATGGCAAGTTGCTCCTCCTTTCGGTTTTGCCGAGAGAGCGATGCGTTTGAGCCATTGAGTGATGGGCAGGAAAAACTTGACTTTTTCTCCTGCCATGGGGGGCGCTCTTTTGGGGAGAAAAATTCCTTCACAAATGTGTTGATGGCTGGACATTGCATCATCCTAGAAAACTTGGAGGCCAGTGAGGACAAAAATAAAAAGTTATAAGACTTTTAAATATGTGGATATTTGGGTCCTCTTTGGCGCCCCCTAGAACGTAAACTGTGGGGTGCAGCGTCATGATTTGTACAACTTTGAATGGCCATGGGGTGTAGATTGACCTGAGCAAATTTGAAGCCGATGGGACAAAAGATTTAGGAGGAGTTAGCCACATTCCAATGTGTGCGAATCGGCAAAAAATGCGAAATAGCCCTTTAACCGTACATTGAACAGATACGCTCGCACTGACTTTTTCGTAGATCTTATTGAGATACATGTGTGTGTAAAA